AAAGGTCTCCGATCCCCCCGGCCCCCCCCCACCCCCCCCCCCCCCCAAGTTATTTCTGCAGGCAAAATCAAGACAATGAGCTAAAAACCACAGCAGCCTAAAATTACCCAAGCTACATGTAAAACATGATTTTTGATTTTTAAGTATAAAAAGCTTTTTAATGATCACATCAAACATGTATTGCTCCTCCACTTTTAAATTAAAAATTTACCAATTTCTCCTCTTGAAGAAAACAACTGCTGTCTTCTCAAACTATTTAAAACCCTGAACAGATGTAGAGCTTGCATCATTGCAACCACACACAGAAATACTTCCACTGTGTAAGAAGAAAAATATAGTCTTTGTAGCTTAATTCTAAGAAAAAAAATAAAACCTACTGGTGTCATTCCAATTCATGGTCTGTGGTGCTGGATTCTTTCTAAAACCAGCCATCAGAAGCACCCAGCTCAATAGAATGAGGCACAAACTTTTCACTATTTAATTGATACCGGGTTAAGTGCAAAATTCAGTTGGATGCAGTTAAATGTGGTAGCAGAGCATAATAGATGTTGGCTCCATCTATTTTAAGACCCAGGATGCTTCCCGTCTCAGAGGTCTGGAGATATATGATGGGTACAGCCCAAATCCATTCTGGGCAGAGACTCCCAGACTATCCTCCTCCAAAACCCTGGTTTCCAAGCAAAGGAAATTTTCCATGCAGACCCAGAGTGACGGAGATCTTCAGAGAATCTCCTAGATGACTGGCATACTGCAAAGCACATTTTCCCTCAGTACACCATAGGTACTGAGTACCCCATGTCAGTGAGAGTCAGCTCTTACCATGTGGGATGGGTTGACACCAAATTTGGAAAAAAATGCTTATCAGAAGGGTGGTTCAGATACACATTTGATGTTTGTTATCAAGTGCTTAATTTCTTCATTTAGAAAATTAACTTATGAAAGACATTCAACAATACTTCAAAACAGCTGCCAGCTAGATTGTACAAAGTCCACCCTCCACCACCTAAAAGATGTCACAACTTAACGAGAAAAATATTTCTTGATCTTTTAAATTGGAAGACCTGCTGCCTAAACTATCCTTTGCCCAGTTGTTAGTAGATGATGCACACGTGTCTTGGTCAGTTTGTCATTGCCCTAAATGATGAACTCTTCTAAAATTGAAAAGATGCTCGCGCTCTCTGGCATTAATTTCAGAAGACAGGAAAGTATCTTGTGGTAGGAAGTGTTACTGGGAAGTTACTGTTGTAATTGGCTGTCTATATCATTTTTACTTTCCCTTCCTTAAGGGAATGTTTGCTAGACTAAATAAAATTTCAGATATCTCTATTGTTTGGGCTATGAAATGGATAGTGTCAGCTGATATATGGGAACGGAATATAAGATATTAAAGTGCTTTCTGGGGTCTTCCAGGATAAGTATTTTGGGTCAGTTAAAAAAAAAAAAAAAAGTGGATGAGAATTTTGATAAGATACAACAGTTAGGAAAATGGTTTCTTGGTATTTGTTATGTCAGGGGAAATGGAGAATGGAGGAAACAGATGCAACATTTCTTTGCATATTGCAAAGGTAAAGACGAAGGAATCTGCCCAGATAAAAATCAACCCTAAATGTGACCTCCTCTTTGTAGCAGTTTAATAACCAATAGATTTTTTCCCTTCCCACTGTTTTTTACTTCTTCTTTCTAGTTTTCTGTATTTGCATTTTATTCAGTCTGGGCAACAAATTAGATTGGTCAATGTCCCTTTATGTTCAGAGACATCTGGAAATGTCTACAGTTGTTAAAGATATAACTACTGCCACCAAAATCACACTGGGATATGTCATATTAATTTACATCTCAGGTGAACTAACATGGCTTTATATCTCATTCTCCAAAATTCTGCAATAGTTTAACATTAAAGGTTACAGTAAATTGCCTGCAGTTTCCTTCCCCCACTATCTCTTTGCTAAATTGCACCCACATATGGTTGGCTGTCTCCTTCCACTACAGCCAGGCAGTCCACCGGGAAGATGATTCATCTTTTCTACCTTCCCATGCAGGATCACTCACTGCAATGTCACTTCCAAGCATGAAACTGGTAGCTAGAGACAGACCATGAAATGTTACCACTTGTCAATATCAAGCAAATGAGCTCCAGCGTATGCAGAGCTGTGGTGATATCTCAGCCCTGGATGTTTCAGCTGTGGATATGACGCAATTCGATTAAGGGATACAGCTGCACCCTGTATTCCTGTTTTCACAGCCTCTGTACAATATTGCCCTGTCCACTCTGCTTTGCATTAGCACAACATGATAACATATTTTAAAATGTAGGTTTCTTTATCAAAGAAACAGACATCTCATACCTGTCAATACCTTAATTACAGAAAAACCACATGAAGTAAAGAGTAAGATCACATCAAATGAATCCTAAGAACAGGACTTCTGCTGAAGTCTAATTAATCTGCACATGAAGGAACAAATTGACAGCTTTGATAATGACCATAAATAAAGTAAACATCTCAGGAAATTTCTAGTCCCTTTTTGTCACACCCTGCAGAGAGTCAAGCAAGTTTGCCCATGTCAACATGAATCATGGTGATGGGCAGGGGACAGGCAGCAGAAACCACTTGGTGTGACGGTAACGTAGAAAACACACCGTAGGTACTCAGGATCAGATCACAGCTCTGTGCAGCCGGCAGGATGCCAGCCCCCTGCCTCGGGGGCTTGCAGAGCCAGCAGCACTGGTACAGCACTGGGTGACCAACTGGCAGGGACTAACAGAGCACAGAGTGACACAAAAGACAAAACTATGGAAAAAGAAAGATATTAGAGGAGTCTCTGAGTTAAGTAGAGGGTTTGTGTTAAACTGTCAGCTCATGTGATTATACGAATAATTTCTTTTCAAACCACAACATTAACATTTTCCCCTTGTGTTTCTGCTGCAGTTCCTGCGGTATTACTCCTCTAGTCACAAACAAGCATTTGATTAAAGTATGTACCCAAGCAAGAAATGGCAAATGGTCTCACCTATGACAGATACACATCCCAGTGGAGCGACAAGGGCAATGGGGGCAAATCCGTAGGCTGTGAAATTGCCCGCCTCTCCAAGCCCCAGGAGGGTAATCCCACACCACCATAGCTTGCTCATGTAGTAGGGCTTCGGCTCTGTTTGGCAAGCCAGTCGGAGATGAGCGCATTTCTAGAAAATTAATTATTAGGAACAGGCATGAAAAGAAAGACTTCCATTGTGCTCTTATGGCTGACAGAAGTGGAATAATTAAGGGGGCTGTCAACTTCAAATTCCAGGTACGTCAAGGTTTTCTTTTTAAACATGACTTTCAGCTTGTTGTTGCAGACACACTGCTTTGTGTTAACTCAGTGCTGCTTCAGATGTGTGCTTTCTTAGCCACGGTGAAAATGACTGAAAAATTAGACCTCTGAATAAACCTGAAAAATATTAAGTGAATACTAGCTAGTTCTTCCTAGCTATCACTGTACACCTCTGTTCTTCTCTCAAAGCAAAGCTCGGCAGTTGTGCTGTGAATCTGGAAACACTCAAAGGCAGGAGATGGGGCAGAATCAGAACTGTGGCAATGAACTGGGAGAAGGGGAGCAGACAACATGGTGTTCCTGCTCATGGTGTTCTCCTGCTCAAGGAGAAAGGGAGCATAAGGAAATCAAACTTCCCTGAGCCACAGACCAGCAATTCACAGTAACATCCAGGATTTTGCATGTTTCATTCTTATAAACAAACAAACAAACAAAAGCCCAAAAGAGAAATGGATATTAAATAATATTGTGAAATCAAGAATCCAAGTTTCTGCTGAAAACCAAATCGGACAAGTTCTTAACTGAATCCTGAGCTCTAGTTTCTCCCCATATTCTTGTAGGAATAACTCTTGAGGGCACAGTGTGATTGAGAAGATGTGCGATGAACACAGGAGGGTGAGCTCAGCTGCTTCCCTACAGCCTTCTTTCTCCAGATGTCTGCCTTCTTTGCATAGTAATGTGTGTGGATGGTATTTAGGTGGAGGCTGTTTATAATCCAGCTGAAATACATGGCAAATGATGGGCTGTTCCTCAGCTGTCAACCAGCTAGAGGGAAGAGAGGGAGGATAACTGACTGCATGGTGGGAAAGGGAGAGAAAACAAAAAAATTTGGCCTGTCCATTTAATATGAGTGTGACAATAAATGTTGAGATCTAGGGAAAGTCATTATTCATATTTATAAGATATTGTAACTAAGTGGAGAAAAACCTTTAGAGGATAAATAAAAATTTCAGTTGAAACTGTTTGTCAAATGGCAATGCAGAGCCATTGGATTTTCCTAAGCAGTATTTAAAAAGCTGGAAGATAGTTCAAATCCAGTAAATTATGTTAATGATTACAAGCCAATAGAAGTCTGTCTGCATGCCTCAGTACATCCCCTGGCAAAGCATCCTCTTTGGCACTCAGTGCCCTCAGCAGACAAAAGATATGAAGTCTGGACAACCTCATTATTATGGGCTAGACCGAATTTCCACTTCACCAAGAAGAGTTTTTCCATTGCAACAGAGCCTGTCCTAGTACTGACACTGTCAGCAGGTTGGAACCTCTCATATTGGAGAGGCAGCAGTCATCTCAACCTGCCTGCCATCTCTGGCTAAACAGATTTCTTTCTATGGGATTCTCCAACTAGAGATACTTAAAATAGAAGGGAATCATTGAAGAACCTTCCAGCATTATTAAAATGAGTTATTATGAATAGAAGATGTCATATTCCACAGCTTTCTGTTTCATCCTTTACAGAAAAAGCAAGAAGTAGCTTTATATGAGACATATACAACTCATAAAATACAAGCTAGCAAAAAAACTTTTTCTGGACATCTTACACAACAATGTCTTCTGAGTTTTAAAAACTTTTGTTAGAAGACCTAAAAATACCATGAAGTCTACAAGATACAGATTATAATGAATTATTTAACTTTCTACTGAGTATGTATTCTAATTATTAATACAGAAAGGATTTTATAAATCTCATCCTACAACCCTTTGCCATAGTTGTAAGGTCAGCACCTCCCATTGCTTTTATGATTTAGAATAATATTTACTCAGATTATTTCATCTTAATTGCCGAAGGAAAACTAAATTGGTCAAAGTTGTTTTGGGGCCCAATGTTTCAAAAAACTTTATGTCTCTATGCATTTAATTACATTAATCCCTCCATTAAGCAGCCTCTAAGACCTTGTGATCAATTCGATTTTAGATTTGGACACTCTGAGACAGGTTCACATGACATCCAGTGGGACCACAAGTGGGTCACAGCTGGCATTTCCTTATGACACATTACAAGGAGGAGGAGAAGTTATGAATTTTTATTCTGTTCCCATATGGGAATCACAGCACAGAACAGGTTGAGAGCTATCATACTGCCAACAACTACAGCAGGACACCATTTAAAGAGAGGGAATGTTTATTAAATGCAACAAAATTTGTATTTTGAACCTCATCATAAAACAAATTGTAACATAAATTACTTGCTAAATATAAACAACTCAGAATAAAGAGAAATAATTTTATACCTGTATATTCAAAGAGACACTAATCAGAAAATTTGAAGCAGCAGCAAGTAAAACTCCCAAGAGCTGAGTCTGCAAGATCACAAAACAAAGAAATACGAAAATACTTATTAGTTTAAGAAGAACATATAACAGTGGTTTTCTGATAGCACATTGTAACCCAATCAAACACAAATTATTGCACTTTTCAGTCACTTACTTCATGCTGCACTGAATAAACTGATTAAAAAAATATCTTTGCACAGTTGACTAGGGCTTAAGTAGTAAATGGCTGGGAACGGAAAGGGCATCTCGGTGCAGGAGGTGGTTTTGCTGTCCATCAGTAGAACACCTTCTTAAATCCCATGAAAGAAAGAGACTAGACAGGTCTCAGTTGAACACTATACACATGCATTCTTCGTTTCCAAAAAAAAGGACCTGTTTTATTACATAATCCAGAAGGAAAATCAACAGCAATTGAACTACTCATATTGGAACACAATTATCTTACGTGTTAACATATCCACTGTTTGACAGGGCAGCCAGGTACATAGGTCTCCTGACAGTTTCTTTAATATATTGTGATATTTCATCAAATTCTTTTCTAATCAGCCTGTCTAATTTTCAGTAAGATTTGCAAACTTTCTATGAAGCTGAGAAATTAAAAACATTCAAGCAGGATTCATTATTTTGGAAAGCGGCCATTTAAAGATGCCATTTCAGCATGCTCAGATAACAGGTACACAGTAGAGCTCCCTGTCTACTTTCAAAATGTTTTAACACTTTGTACATTGTCATAAGTGTATTCAAGATCCATTCAAGGTCACTGGTATAGTGCTGTGGGGAGCCCCATTAGCTTGTAAAGACAAACATGCTATCAGTGAGTTTTTAAAAACAAGGTCATGGTAACATAACCCAGCATAACTATTGCTTGCAAGCTGTAAAGCAGCACCCAACTCAGTGCTCACAGCTTCAGCTTTAATGACTCTTCTCCAAGAAGGTCCCTGGGTGCCTATGAACAGGCCGTGCCTACCAGCCACAGAGACTCTTGCCCCTCAACATTTCTAAAGAGGCAATATGTGGTCCAGCAAGCACTTGCAGATGACAATAGAGGGGGATTATTGTTGTGGCTAGATAATTCCCAGACTAGGAAAGAGCATCCCCGAAAGTGTGAAGAAAAAAAAGCCTTATTACAAAAGGATTATAATATTCCTATTTAAGAGATACAGCTGAATCCAACTCTCTCCAGCCCATGCATTTCTGTAGGGCCTTAGACTCAGAAGGAGATGCAGACAACAGAATTACTCTGGGTGAAACGCTTGGCTGACTGCCAGGTGTCACCAAGACATGACTGATGGGTACAAGGGGATGCAGAGAGGGGAATGCAGGAGGTGAGAGGGCTCCCTTTGCTCACACACCTTCCACACTAAGTAACACAGCACCAGTGCCACAGTCTGTGTGCAAGAAGCATCCAATGAGAAGCATTACTCAAGAGTTTTGCCCTTACCCTCTGGTGCCTGGACACTGGAGGTCCTTCCCATCTTGCACCCTCTCCCTCCCACCCCAGTATCCCCAGGTGGATGCTCCAGCAGCGTGTCCTGGACTCTCACACAGGGTGTATTTTCTGTGCTCTGGGAACACCCTCCACTGGGAACAGTGGGGAGTGTGTGACAAGACATCTCAGCACACCTCAGCACAGATTAGGCACTAACTGTTACAGGGGCACGAGCAGCCTTGCAGCCTCCTTACACACCAGAGAAATGCTGTCAAATGGCCTCCACCCAGCGCTCCGCAGGAGCAGAGGGGATGGGTTTTCCTTCCTGAGGCTTTGATGATGATGGTACTACATCTTGCACAAAGTTTGACCACTTCACAAGTGGATTATTGCATTCCCCTCATCATCCTGCACACACAGCAGCTTCAATAAAACAGCAGTTAAATCAAAATTGTTTTCTTGCTCCCAAAGGCTTGTTCTTTTTAAAATGACAATATGCTCCCTTGTGAGGGGGTGGAGAAGTGGCCTTGTCAGCCTCGTCATGAAGGGTTTAAGAAAAAGGAGAGAGCAGGGAATAGAAAACAGAAACTGCCACCTCATTTACCCCACCATTTTATTGTTTTCACATCAGTTATTGTAGCACATCCACATTACTCCCAGCAGAGAACCCAGTCTCTCTGCAGCTCTTTCCGTTTCAGCAGCCGATCCTGCCCTTATGGCTGCATCTCTGGATAACACCTTGCAGCTCCTCACTCCCAGCTTTCAGCAGCGGGTCACAGACACTGTGCAGGACTCGGGAGAAAACTAGCACCCCAGGGAGGAAACACGGCTGGTCTCAAGCCAGCCCAAAGAAGGGTCTCTGTCCAGCTCTGGAGTAAAACTTGCATGCAGCTGGTGGGTGGAGGATGAGGCTATGTGTTCCATCTGTCATCCAAAAAATTGTGCAAAATCAGATCCACGTGTGGGTACTGTTGATGACCTGAGTACCTGCTTCCAGAGACTGTGAATCAAATGCCCCTTTGATGGCTTTACACACTGCAGGGATAGGGACTCCAGCAGGAAGCCTTCCAATGCCCTGCATCACTGGTGTCCTCTCCAGAACTGGCTGCTTTCGTACGGTAGTGGTTGCTTCCTCAGGTACGTGTGAGCTTGGCTCAGATATCCCTGTGGGACGCACAAGATTTCTAACCTGATGACCACCCTATTTCTGAACAGGAACGATCTCCCAAAAGCAATGCTCTTTTTACAGGTTCCAGAAACTGCCAGGAACAGAAAGCAGCTCAAAAACTTGGGTCTTCTCAGTCTTCTCCTCATTTTCTGGGAAATACTAAGACATGTGTGACTGATGTCTCAGTACTTCCCTGTGAAATACCAAGATCAGTGTTTCCCTCAGCATTGCCACTGACATGTCACAGGGACACTGGCATCAGGGGCTCCCCACGGCAGCAGGGAAGGACCTGGTAGCCTGGGCCTATCCTCACCCAACCAGGAGGAGGGCAGCTGGGGGCACGAGGGCAGCCCCAGCCCCAGCCCCAGGCATCGGGCACCTCCCTGGAAATGGGGACAGGCCCAGGCTGGGCCGGTACATGGGCCCCTACGTGGGCCCAGCTCAGCAGGGCTGGTGGCTGGACACAGCAAGGCTGTGGGGAGCTGGAGATGGACCCTGCTGTGGTGTTGCTGGAGCAGGGACTGATGGCCCCAGGGGCCTGAAATGGGCCCTGGCAAACACGTGCAAAGCTATTGAGGTGACACTGTCTTGTGTCTAACTTGGGCAACTTCACGTGTCTGCAAATAAGCTACAGGAAAAACAGCGTGTGTTTTTCATAGTGGAAGTCTGGGCTCAAAACTTACTCTCATTGCTCAGGTCATTTTATCATAATGACCACGTGTTTTGCCTGAGCACTGCTGTTGGCATATATACTGCGCTGCCTGCTCCAGACTGATGTGTGGTAATGAGCTCTGGTTAATATGGTGATAGCACCATACTTCCAAACCCAGGGCTGGACAGAGCTCTGAAGATTAAAAGCAGCATATGATGCCCTTAGGAGGTCAAATATCAGGTGGATCTGTTCCGGGAGATGAGATGAAACTACAGTAACACCATGCAGCTATGGCATGGCAAAACGGTCTTGTACAGGTTCATACTCAGACATGCCAATATTAAAGAAAACAACAGGGAACAAAAATGCAGTAAAGAGGAAAATTTGATTGCAAACTTCACAAATCAGAGAGCATCTTAAATCACCAGGCACTATCTAATGCACAAGAGCTATCATGCACAGCAGTGCTCAAAGCAGGAGAGAAAAAATAGGATACCATATCTCAGGCTAGTAAAAGCATGCATGAATGAAAGATGACCTGCAACAGAAGATAGATCACCCTGTCAAACTAAAATGGTTGCTGTATTGCCCTGAAGGCCACCAGAACCATTCTGTTCCCATCTTCCCATGTAAAAGTCTTCATTATTTGTGTTGTGTCAGCAATTCAACATCCTTTAGACTAGGGGACTGGTGAAACAGTCAGTTTTAAAAGTAATAAACATGATATTCTCTGAACACAGAGTTTCCAGTTGTGATATCCAGTTGTGATATCATCCGCAGAACTGCAGGGCTTCCCACACACAAGTCTTGAGACAAACCTCCGTGAGGGAATACAGTTGCAGAGGCAACTTCAGAGCCATGCTTCTACTTCAGTCAACTAAGGACTTCTACAGGAAAAAGCCTTAAATGTTCAAAACTGTTGGCATAAAATGCAAGTCCCTTCCTCACCAAAACATCTGTCTGAAAGGCCACTTTGTCAGACCCTAGATTTCAAACTGTTAACACATTCTTCCAGTGCTTCCAAATGCATGAGGCTTGTCACAGAAATATCCTGCCCTTAAGTTTTCCAGAAAGTAAAAACACACCACAGAAACTTTATTTCCTTCACCTTAATATGGTTTGGAACAAGCCATGAAAGTCACTTGCTGGCTTTGCAGTACTTTCTAGACAGTCCCCAAGCACACAGACCATGGACTCAGGCTGTGGATTTGCCGACATTTTCCCTGGTGGCAGAGCTGGCTGGAGGAATGACTTCCCCTGGCCCCGCATTCCCTCACTGCCTCGTTTGCATTAAAACAACTATTTGTGAGACTGGCAAGGCACTGTTCCAGGTTTGAAATAACCCTCCCAAAATATACCCCATTAGCATTATGTTCTTTATAAGCCACCTGCCAATGTTTAACACTGAAGGCAGATTAAAATTCACAAGCTACAGCAAGGGTTTTGAAATGGTGACCCCACACAGGTTGCCAGTGGTGACAGTGGCCAAGGGGATGTGACTGCACAGGGGACTGCCAAGGGTGAAGAGTTTGAGAAGTGGAAAATTCATCTCGAGCAAGGCACCCTCAGCAGTCGCCTGGCATCTCCCGTCCAAGCTGCGTGAGGCTCTTGCACAAGCCCAGAGGTGGGGAAGGGAGGTTTGAAGGATCAGTCAGGAGCCGTCCATTTGCCAAGTGGAGTGGCAACATATTGCTATTCAAAATAAATGAGCGGCAGCGCGGCATATTGCTGCATACGGTCCTGCTTCGAACACTCATGCAGGAGTTGATGCTTATTTA